TGTTTTTAATGAAGTTGGTTTTAGAGTTTATGACAAGATCCCTCTAAGCGCAGGTCTTCTGCCATTGCGATGGCAACAAAATGGTATGAGATGTTTTGGAAAATAATACCATTTTAATAACTATTCTTCAAAGCCCATGTATATCTATTTCTAGATTTTCTAGACAACAGACCATATCTCACTTTCGACAAATATATCCATAATAACGGCTCTGAAAACACCTTTCATAGAACATGTTTTGATATGCTATAATAAACAGAAACGTATACACAGGGTGCTAACCCTTACAATTCTTGTAAAATCACGCATGACTTTATCGTTTTCTTGAAGGGAATTTATTGAGCGCGGGAAATACTGACTCTTCCGTACTTTAATTATTGAATTTTATCAAAGATATATCACGGTGGCAATGAGGCGAGTGATTCAGCGGCCATGTAAGAAATCTTTATGATGAAATTACCGACTTTTTAAAGCTTGGTTATCAAACTTTATCATTTCAATGTTGGGATTTTAAGGCGAATTATTAAAATTTAGAAATAATCTTAGATAGATTAACGAACAGAAAACAGAACTTGAAGCCCCGAAAGGCAGTGTAGATCACACCCACAGACGCCATGATTGTTCATATCTTGGTTATAACATTCTTTCGAGGACATGTTTATCGTAACCGATTCTGTAGTATAGAACCAATATATGAAAACCTAATTATAATCATATATTCAGTTAAAGAGGAGTTTGTATTCTGTGACGATAAAGTTTACGGACATGCTGACAACACACACAAGAAGAAAGACATAGGATATATAGAAGTTAAAATTTTATGTATTTTTAGGGAATCATTTTATACAAATGATGAATTATAAATCATCAACATCACAAAAATATCGCAAAATAAACGTTCAACATTTACTTTCGTGGATACTTGATGTATCTACGTCCTGATTCTATCTTAAAAGTCACATAGACAACGGTCAGAAGTGATACAATATGGCGCTGGTCGCCACGTTCGGAAATTCTTTAAATTTATCATGCTTCATACGAGTATATTCAACGTTATCCTAACAGTTACTATTAAACATGCGTTTATCTGTGGTAAGTTTCGGGAGTTTCATACTACTATGTTATATGAAAATGATCAATGGGTCTTACACAAAAACAAGAGAATAGTGACCTGGTAACCATGGCAATCAATGTTTCTGCTGAAATAACTGCATGCGTATCTTAAGCATGACAAATCAGACGAAGCGAAAAGCTGAATCCAGTATATCCATATCATTTTTCTTTTCCGCAAGCTTAATTCTTCAAAATTGATCAAATGTGACCTTCCAACCTTAAATTTTGACTGGTATCAACCACAATCTAGTGAAACTTAGATTTAATGGTGTTTCTTCATTTAGTTTGATTTGTATAAGAATTCGATCAAAACTTCAATTTTAATTCATTTATACAAGCTTGATTGAAATATATTTTGAAAGCTGATATCGCGTATTCACCTCATCACGAAAATATTGTCATAAGAGGCGACCTCTTGTGAGTTCCCCTTGTAGGAAGACGGTTATTGCTCAGACGTCTTCTGTTTAGGGGATAGCGGAGAGTCTGGAAATAGGGTCTGCTGTATTCTACTACATGACTGCAGAATCGGATATTTTATTCCGTATCTTCTATTAAGGATATTCGTAGAGACAAGATAACTGCTGCCCCTATTCGCAACGTCTGGGATCTTGATTTATTCGTTTCATAACTTCCTTGAATGTTTATAGCGTGAAATGTTGGACATTAAGCTACGCATAACTGACATTTTGAAGTGCCAAAATGTACAAAAAAGAGAGATGTATTGGCAAACAGATGTTATAGATATATATTAAGCAATGGTCTTGATCAATGATTACCAGTTACTCTGAAAACATGAAATATACGTCAGTCTGTGATCAACGATAATCTATAATTATTATTATTCTTAATGGCCCGTCAACACATAAAAGGACATTAGGGCCATCAAACGGTTAAACACACAGCGATCTAAAAGGAAATAACATTAAACAAACCAAAAGGTAAAAGACAAATGTTATCAATCTTAAATGAGTATCTTAACACAAAAGATTAAAATGCTACGTCATAGTCTATTATATAGACCAACATCTTTCAGGTAATGTAGGATTTTACAAATCTCAACAGTTTCAAAAAGGGATTTTACACATGTAATGTTACGATAAAAAGTTCACGAGTAGACAGAAGGTCACTGCAGTCCAATAAAAAATGTTTAACGGTGAATGGCTCATCACATCAAGGTTTATCTTCACCTTTCAACATAAATGAATATGTAAGGTATGTATGACCCATCCGAAGACGACAAAGGACAACTTCGTCTATAAAATCCAGCTGGTACCGCCATGTAATGTATATAAAATTTCATTATCGGTCATGTATCAAACATAAATAACACACAAAAGTATATCTAGTTGACCACTTTTACTGTCATATTGTACAACGATTCAGGGGTAGAAGTTGTTGTATAATATATGTCCTGAAGGAAATCAGCACTGTATATAGAAATGATGAAATTCAATATATCAAACTTATTTATAGCGATTTTTACCCAGATGAAAAATAACATGAAAGGTAATGATAAAGAAACTAAATATTACAAATTTCTGTATATTTCTTCATGTGATTTAATAATGATAACTAAACCATTTCTACATTTTCTCAATACAGAGTGAAGGTAGATGATCAAGCAGGACAAAGTAAGCTTCACTGATCATCATAGATTTATGTCGCGCCTTATCAATTCAAAAATAGAATGCTTCAGGTAATTTAAACTTTACGTTCACTACATGTCGTTATCTACAAGTGTCCCTATGACCTAACTTATACCCACCACATTCTGGTTGCTAAACTTCACATATGGGGCGATAAAAGTGATTTCATATATTGTAAGTATAGAGGGGCATAACTGGGACAAGGACAGGTGAACTTATGTCAGCAAATATGACTATATGGAGCCGTGTGGAAAATCATAATAGGTTTGGGTTGATGAAGGATATTGGCCAAATATTATGACACCTGCATGATTTATTTTCACTGTTTTCATGTTTGAGGAAAACCTGTTAGTAGTTCAGACACACTCATTGCTACGTTGAGAATAAAATGATCACTGTTATGTGTTGGTAAAGTACCCATAACAAATCTTGAAGTAGGCATGATCAAATAATGCTCCCCTCCTGTGAGCGACTGTATAAATTGTATGTAGCCGTAGTATTGCATCACAATGTGCAGTCTATTTTGTTGGCAATGGGGGATAATAGCTCGAATAGTCTCAAGTTCTGGAAGGAAGTCTTAGGATGCTAACCTGTCATTCTGGTTTATGTCAATACACATATTCTAATGGGTGGCAACTGCTTTGTAGAAATCACTAGAAGTTGGTGTTCAGTCCTCATGTTGGTACATGCTATCTTTTGACGAAAAAATATATCCTTAATGGTGGGAAGAGTAGGTGGCAACCCCGAGACCCAATCTTGAATCAAAATTGATTCTCCTTCACCTAAGGACGTTGTTCAGTAGTCTCAGTATGTCTTCACCAGTTTGGTAACGTGGCATTTCTTACCTGGACTGACCTCCGGAGAGGTAAGCGTCTTCTAATTCTTGGACGACACCCGCCAAATAAATCTTGGTCAATCCAAATAAGTAATGGTATACAACAAGAGAGCCAATAGACAAACTAACAAGAACAAACACCTTCAGCTTTATATCGCACAAAGGAACAGAATATGTCTCAATGAGATCACTATGACGACCGTAAAACTTCCCAATAATTTTCATTAATCTGCATCTCTTGAAACCATGTAATAAGAGTTTTTCCGTCAATAAAAGATATCTTGCCCGAAAGTCGTGCAAATGGGAACAAACTCTTGAAAATCAACTAATAGGGAAATCGAAATCATCTCACTGATCATACAGCTTGTTTGAAAGATGTCCATTTTGGTTCCGTTGTAGGAAAAAATCGAGTTGAGCGGCTAGTGAAGAAGAGGCTGTCTTTTGCCAACCTTCGTTTACACAAAATTGATTCTCCTTCACCACAGGACGTTTTAGGTCAATTCGGCACGGGATCCTAACATTCCGACAGAGGGATTTTAAAGAATTTGCTCAATTTGCCCTATTGGGTGTCACCCTCTGGCCCTTGAGGGCCGAGACCAACCGTTTATACAAAATATAGCCCCATCCACCAGAGAATGCTTCAGATTAAATTTGGACGAAATTCAACCATTCCTACAGAAGAATTGTAATGACTCTGCTAAATTCCCCCTTTTTGGGTTTCTAGATTTCTTGGGGATCAGATGCATCATTTATTCAAAGTTTTTCTTTTCCTACAACCACGCGGTATATCTTAAGCTCAAATGGTTCATCGGGCTAGATGAGCTGAAAATCTATTTTACACACGAGTAAGCATTTAAACATGTACATTAAAAAAATTCTTTCTTTATATCAACGCTAATTAAAGATATATTTATCGTTATTCATTGTACGTTACACGTGCTGACGGAACAGCCCGATTTACAAAATGAAAAAAATGGAGCAAACAAAATAGCATATACAGTGGTCGCTTTCTACACGTCAGACTTGATGTTTCAAGAAGTGTAAACATCAGTTTTGTTAGTAAGGCGAAATAGAGAATAAAAACCTGAATGAGTTTTGTATTGTTCAGGATTTTGTCTGCAAATTAAGTTTACGGTTTTTCTCGTTACTTTTTTGCGATGTTATTTTGGCCCTAAACAACTTGAAACGTATATATAATGTATAGCGTAAAACCGAGAATCAAACATCAATCTAATTGAGGACGGGGTATCTTATATTTCGTAATATGACGGCTTCCTTATAACGAAGTGAAATCAGAAATCTTTTCTTAGTTAGTTCGAACATATATGTACAAAACGGCATTCTTAAAAGAGAGAGTAATGCCACAGCGCTCCATTCTTTTCATCTTATAACCAATATATATCAATCTAATTCCTATATGTCTTTGGTTTAATTCCATATTTACCCACGGGGAATATATCACCGATAGTGTACCTAGAACACGGCAGAAAGTCCTGTCCTCGCCAACAATACAGTCCAGAGTCTGTGTTACGGACAAACGCAGCTAATATGCTAAATCCACTAGACGGAATAATGAGTATATCACAACTGACTAATGTATAGAAATCGAGTAATTGTTTCACAAACCCTTCGCGTTGATCGTTTAGATGAGGTTGGTCAATATGTGTTATATTTCCAGGAGTGTCTATGATATTTGCAGGATAGCGTTCCCGTGCCAAAGCTTTTACATTATCCGTGTCAGAAGCAACAAACAGGTCATACTCGTCTTTGTTTAATTTGTCAAAATATCTCCACAAAACATCCAATGGCAGTTCTGGTCGTTTGTTGTCTCGTGGCATATTTGGGTTATTCCCATAACGTACATGGGCACATGCTAGTTTGTTTCGTATCCGGTTTGCTCGATATTGTTTATCTAAAGCATTAAGAGAGCTTGGTGAAAGTTTAAAGAAAACATCTACAAAATGTTTGTATATATCAGCTTGGTGATATCTTGCGATCCATGGAACAACATTTCCAATATTTGGTCTCGTTCTGAAGTCCTTTATAAAATCCCAGTTCATACGAAGAAAAATGACATCGTCATGGAAAAAGGTATTTATATCTTCATTCCTAAACATATATTTTTCTATTTGTTTGTAATTATTATTACGTAGTTTGTGATATGAACTTGTTTTATTCCAAAGTATAGAAGGATCGTATTGCCAGTCAAAGTAAGCTGGAATGAAATATTCATTAAGGCTGCAAGGTTTGTCAAAGTTGATAAGAAAACGTCGTTTTGCTAGTATGGATATAATAAAGGTGGTCAGAATACCAGCAATTCTATCTGACCAGCCTCCGCAATCCCCTTCCCAAGCGTCGGAACAGTCGTAAACGATGTATTTGATTTCCTGGTCACTGTAATCAGTTGATTGCATACAATCTTCAAGAAAACATTTAAATGCACCATCTTCCAAACTGAGGTCTGCATCTTTAATAAATCTCCCACGATTATTTTCATCGTTGGAGTTGGAGACCATCCAATGTCTGCTTTGATAATTTTGGACTACCACCAGTAGAAGCAATAGGAATATTAGAACAACCACCAATGTCCGCAGAATGGGGCGCTAAAATGGTAATGAAAGAAGATTTCATTTAGTTCTATATCTTTTTTGTTCAATAATAATAATCATCTTAAAATGAATGGCAAACAAAAATTCCCTGTCTAAGGAAAAGCACGCATGATTACCGAGGCATTCGGTTATCATAGAAGTAGAAAGACTACTATATGAAAATGAAGGAAGAAAATACCAACAGGTAAAACAAAGAAACATTATCTGGTAAAAAACAGAAATACTAACACGTAAAAAAAAAACAGAAATGATTACAGGTAAAAAAATAGAAAAACTAGCAGGTAAAACGCTAAAAATACAAACAAGAAAACACAGAAATAAAAACTGAACGAATATATATATAATGACATCATACACCATGCCCTAAGTTCACGAACTTCGTAACATTAGGGACTAGAAAGATGCTTATAAAATTGCTAAAAACGATTGTACAATTGACACAAGCTTATCACGGCTATAGATAAATTTGTAATTAGATTAGAGTCAAATAAAGAATTGGCCAGCGTTTGTATCTTACTGTTTACTTACGACGTCTTGTCTTCGCCAAACCATCATTTCTTTTGAGTTTAACTGAACGATTGACGCGTATAAAACGTACGTGTGAAATGTAACCGATGTTTCTATTGGGTGAGTTGATCATTGATTGAAATCATGCGTGGAAATTATTGTATTTCTTACACCAGTACTGAAAGATATATTCGTCATACCAAATTTAAGAATTTTGCGTAAATAACAAAGCGTGTCTGTCAACTTTAAACATTGATAGCATTTTGATATTGTGAACAGGTGACCATCATCATAACCATTCTGTGTATGGTTTTAATGAAGATGGTTTTAGAGTTAATGACAAGATTCCTCTAAGCGCAGATCTTCTGCCTTTGCGATGACAACAAAATAAATCAGATGTTTTGGAAAATAATACCATATTAATAACTATTCTTCAAAGCCCATGTATATCTATTGCTAGATTTTCTAGACAACAGACCATATCTCACTTTCGACAAATATATCCATAATAACGGCTCTGAAAACACCTTTCATAGAACATATTTTGATATGCTATAATAAACAGATACGTATACACAGGGTGTTAACCCTAACGATTCTTTCAAAATCACTCATGAATTTATTGTCTTCTTAAAGGGAATGTAATGAGCGCGGGAAATACTGACCCTTCCGTACTTTGATTATTGAATTTTATCAAAGATATATCACGGTGGCAATGAGGCGAGTGATTCAGCGGCCATGTAAGAAATCTTTATGATGAAAATACCGACTTTTCAAAGCTTGGTGTCAAACTTTATCATCTCAATGTTGGGATTTCATACGAATTATTAAAATTTGGAAATAATCTTATATAGATTAACGAACAGAAAACAGATCTTGAAGCCCCGAAAGGCAGTATAGATCACATCCACAACCGCCCTTATTGTTCATATCTTGGTTATTACATTCTTTCGAGGACATGTTTATCGAAACCGATTCTGTAGTATAGAACCAATATATGAAATCCTAATTATAATCATATATTCAGTTAAAGAGGAGTTTGTATTCTGTGACAATAAAGTTAACGGACATTCTGACAACAAACAAGACATTGGACATATAAGAATTTATGTATTTTCAGAAAATGATTTTGTACAAATGATGAATTATAAAACATCAACATCAAAAAGATATCGCAAAATAAACGTTCAACATTTACTTTCGTGGATACTTGATGTATCTACGTCCTGATTCTATCTTAAAAGTCACATAGACAACGGTCAAAAGTGATACAATATGGCGCTGGTCGCCACGTTCGAAAATTCTTTAAATATATCATGCTTCATACGAGTACATTCAACGTTATCCTAACAGTTACTATTAAAAAGTCGGTTATCTGTGGTAATCTTGAGGAGTTTCATATCTCTATGTTATATAAAAATGATCAATTTGGAGTGACACAAAAAGAAGAGAATAGTGACTTGTTTACTATGGTAACCAACGTTTCTGCTGAAAATGACTGCATGCGTATCTTGGCATGGTCTCAAGGTAAGAAATCAGACGGAGGGACAGGCTGATTCCAGTATATCCGTATCATTTATATGTTGATTTTTCCAAATTGGTCAAATGTGACCTTCGAACCTTAAACTTTGACTGGTATCAACCACAATCTAGCGAAAGCGTAGATTCCATGGTGTTTATTCATTTAGTTTGATTTGTACAAGAATTCGATCAAAACTTCAATTTTTCATTCATATATTCAAGCTTAATATTTTGAAAACTGATATCGCGTATTCACCTCATCACGAAGTATTGTCATAAGAGGCGACCGTCATAAGAGGCGACCTCTTGTAAGTTCCCCTTGATTAATTCTTTTCATCACTGAATGTTTATAGCGTGAAATGTTGGACATTAAGCTACGCATAAACGGATATTTTTAAATGCCAAAATGTACAAAAAAAGAGAGATGTATTGGCAAACAGATGTTTTAGATATATATTAAGCAATGGTCTTGATCAATGATTACCAGTTACTCTGAAAACATGAAATATACGTCAGTCTGTGGTCCACCATAATCTATAAAATCCAGCTGGTACTTCCATGTAATGTATATAAAATTTCATCATCGGTCATGTTTCAAACATCAATAACACACAAAGGTAATATTAACCAAGCTGTAGACTTGTGTGTTTCTTGTATCCGTTCATAAATATGTCATCAAGGTATACGTAAGCACCGATCACTGTAACGGACTTGTATCTATTTAAGACGTGTCGACAACGATATTGTAAAATACGGTCTCTGTCACTAAGCTGACGGAGAAGGCTTCTTTGGCTTGGTATGTAGAGTCGGTCGATTATCACGCCCGAGGCACAGGTTCGATTCCTGGTCTAGGCACTCGACAGGACTGTGTATTTTACCTGCAACTGCACTATTTGAAGTATCAATTTCCGAGAATACACTCTCTATTAAGGAGGATTTCCCCGTCCTTCTCTCTCTCTCACACATGGATGGTGCTGCATCCTCATACTTCATTTTACAAACCAGCCGCGACCTTTATCGAAATTTCATTATTATTTTTATTAGAATTATTATTACAGTCTTAACGGCCCGTCAACCCATAATAGGTCATTAGGGCCATCAACCGGTGAAATACACAGCGATCCAAAAGAATAACATCAAACAAACTAAAAGGTAAAAGACAAAAGCTAATTTTATTATCATTATTATTACATTCTAAACACATAAAAGGTCATTTATAAAAGGCTATATTATCACAAAAGTTTAAAATGGTAAGCCATATTCTATAATAAAGACAAACATCTTTCAGATAACCGAGAACTTTATCATTATCTTCACCTTGCAACATATGTGTATGTGTAAGGTATGTATGGCCCATCCGAAGACGGGCAAGGACAACATTGTCTCGGTGGTTGTCTATAGCATGGACACCATTCACCCATGATAGGTTTTACGGAGTGCAATTTATTATTTGAAAAAACAGGTTTTGATAGAATTTGACTTTAGCTGAATTGTGTATTGCAAAGCCAATTTATTTCGGCTATATAGTGATGGTTTGTAAGCCTCTATATAGAGATTTGCTATGGTCGTAAATAAATTCCATAAAAAGTTATCTGGAGAGGGGAATGCTTTTAGGGGATACTTTTATGAAGTGCTAAAAAGTGTACCCGGATACATATATAAAGGGGTAAAAGTGTCGAGATTCTTTTATCGGGGATACAAATATGGTGTGACAACCGCATCGTGCATGTAAACAATTCATATTTTCAACACCTGGAAAATCCCTGAAACGATTTCCATAAACTTTTCATGTCCAAAGGTGAACCCATATTGTGCATAATATGGTCACATCACCTAGGGGTATGAGAGGCAGGACCAAAAGGGATAAATTTTGACTTTTATTTCAAACATTTTATTAACACCCAGATATTGAAGAATCAAACACTTTAAACAGGTGAAAGGGGGTTAATTTTCTTAACCAAAATTGCGAATTCCATGACCGGAGGGTCTCGCATATATTTCAATCTTGGTTAGATTTTTAAGTATGAGATAACTGTTTTATTGTATGCATATATTGATCCTGGATGACCCCCCCAGAGTCTGATGGACGGGACCAAAATTAGTCAAATTTGTTCTCAATTTCAAAAATATTTTATTTTTCTTCTCAATACCCAGTGATAGTAGAATCAAGTACTGTTCGTGGAATCCCGGGGCCTATCATTTCCTCTTGGAAAGTAGTACATTTGACTATAGTTTGTGTTAGAAACAAACAAATTGGACATGATTTGTTCAATTGCCTTTGGAATATCAGTATAGTTTGACGGTTTGATCCTAGCTAACCTCTAAACCCACCGCTTATACAAAACCCCTATTGCCATAGTTTGGTCTTTATATCTTCTTTAGAAGTTTCCCAAATTTTCTGTTTTTTGTTCTGTATTATATGAAATCAGCAAATTCTTTGAAATCCTTCCGTGTTACATATCAGGTCTGTAATGTTATACCAAAAGACGCAAGCCGACAATGAGTACCAAGCAACTTTATACAATACAATAAACAGTTTATACAATATTGTGTATAATGCTGTCATTTCTTGTGTGTTTATCGATAACGTCAACATATAATTGCTATTAGTTTTACATCCTTGCAACTCCGAGGTAGAATAATGGCTTTGTATTCTAAACAAAATTATAAAAGAGAAAAACTAGCGTGCTTTTTCTAAAGATAAGCTTGAACCTATTTCCAAAGCAAGGTAGATTGTTGATATTACCCTTTAATACTTATATTCAGTAGGACTTAATTAGCGGTTCACCTGAACAGATTATTATCATGGCATTCTTAACGGCCAGTCAAAACATAAAAGGTCATTAGGGTCATCAATCGGTAAAAACACAGCGATCCAA